TGTCCGTAATTTCAACAACACAAATAGAAAAAATTATCTGTCTATATTTCTGAGATGAGGTATTATGTACACTATTTACATTATTCGGACTATTGTCCTCATCTTTGTTGCCATATTTATTACAACGTTTCGGCCTTTCAGTGTCTGTCTATATTTCTGAGATGAGGTATTATGTACACTATTTACTATTGCTCTCATCACAACTCTCCGGCCGATGTACGCCCCGGCCTTCTTCAGGTGGTTGAAATGTCGAACTGAACCCTTTATTTCGCTCACTGTTGTAGACTGTTCTAGTTCCACGTGCCATGTCTAATGCATGTCAGTTATCTCTTGTTAATTATCTCTGAAAGTTCCCCACCGCCTTAACCAGGTATTGAACTCATAGCTATTTGAGTCCTGTCACTGGATCTAACCAACGATTTATCCACTGTACCATGTCTCCATGGAGAGGGGCCTGCTTGAAATAAAGTTCATAAAATTATCAGCCCGTTTTTTGTCTTGCTTTGTCTTGTTTTTTGTTAATGATAAAGTAATTCTCTTTGTTTCTTTTCAGTTTTATTGCTGAAGTTCTTATAAACACTTTCAAAATGTCTCTTTACAGAAGAAATTCTGCAAATGATTGTTTCGGAACAGGAAATGCATAAGGCGTTATTGTCTTTCTTAATCGTGCCAAATTTCTCAGTCCAGTATTTAAAAAAATTCTTTAATATCCTTTTCTTTTGAACGACATCATTTCTTAGCTGATGATCGTCACATTCTGCACAATCTGTAAAGGGCAGAAAATAAAAATACGTGAGATAATGATATACAAGAAAGAGGAGAAAGAATAAAAGTAAGTCAAAAAGGGAATCTAATGACTTAATTTCGCGTGCCAGAAACAAGTCTTCAGCGTGCCATGTTTGGCACACGTGCCAAGTGTTACCCACCCCTGTTTTATACTAAGTTTCTTTTCTCGCACTTCTCCTTTGTGGAACTTCCTTCCGTCTCCATGCTTTCCAGTCAATTTTAATCTTTAAAAAATTTATACGCGATGTCAATCACTATCTACCTTCCTCCGGATTGCTTTTCTTTTAGTCTCCCCTCCTTAGTTCCTGTTTTCTATTTCTTCCCCACCCTGTAACCTCTTAGTGGCCTTATTGCTTTGTTTTGGGTGAACTTGATTAAAAAAACTGTAATAATAATAATCAACAACAAATAATTATGTAATCAATAATAAATAATGAGTAAAAAGTTAACAAATAACCACACTGGTATCCAAATTTCTACTCACTAGTTTCTAGAATAATTTGAACTATAACCATTAATGCCTATCCAATAATTGTCAGGATAATAACTGTAACTAAGGTATGCTCAGCATAGCTGCAGTATAAACCACTCTGTGGGTGTTGAATAAAGAAAAATGTGCCTGAACAAGCGTCTGGAATAGGGATTGGCTAGCCGCCCTAGTAGACGGTTATACTCGAATACGAGTTGCAAGCGATACAGAATTTTATTTAACCCTAGAACACTAACCATCAATTAAATAATTATGGGTATATCATACCCGATTTTGAAAATATCAACAAAAAAAAAAAAAAAAAAAAATTAAATATAAATCTTTATTTGAAATATTTTACATCCAGGTACTTCAAACTTTGTACGTTGAGTTAACATTAATAAAAACTAAAAACATATTATTTACGTAAGAAAATCAGGTACTGAAAATTGCAATTAAAAATAGGAAAAATTGCGCTGGGTACTATATACCCATGGTTAGTTTTGTAGGGTTATTAGAGAAAAGGTTTTCAGAAGGATTCAGTAAGAATCGAACCCACTTTCATAGTTCGTGTCCGAGCGAACCACAAGGAGGTTCTTATGTATATGGTTTCTTTCAGCATAATTAAAGCATTGCCTTAAATCTCTTTTCTTTTTTTTCCCTATGGTAGCCTCTGACGATCTGATTTCGATATATACGGAAAAGAATGTAAATATACAGCAACTTCGAAGCAAATGAAAGATTGGTTTCAAGTGCCTACCATAGATCGACGGTGAACAAGATTATTACTATTTGAACTTATTCTCCTTCTGTGTGCCGTATCTCTTCAAGACGTTGGTGATCATGGCTCTCCACAATTTCCTGTCTTTTGTAGGTCTTAATAAATTTTGTCTTTTTGATATCTCTCCTAAATATTGACCCGCCATCCATTTACTCAATCTCGTTCTTCTTCTTCTATGTGCCGTATCTCTTCAGGACGTTGGTGATCATGGCTCTCCACAATTTCCTGTCTTTTGTAGGTCTTAATAAATTTTGTCTTTTTGATATCTCTCCTAAATCTTGCTCCGCCATCCACTTGCTTAAGCTCATTAGGTAGGCTATGTGTTGCTTTCCTTCAATCTGTCCCCTGTGAGTATAAACATTTCTACCTCTGTCTCTTACTGGTGTTATATAAATGTGCTTTTTATGTCCATTTTCGTCGTTGATCACATGTTCGGTCTATGGTTTCCTCAGCATCCTACTGTAAAACCACATTTCTGTTGCTTCAAGTCTCCTTATCTTTGTTGACATATTCACGACGTTTCGGTCGTTGTACGCTCCGACCATCTTCAGGTCACAGAACCCTTTATTTCGTCCATTGGTGTAGATTGTTTTAGTTTCACGTTATCTCCCTTTAACTCAGCTCTCGAAGTTTTGTTCTCCTGTGCAGTAGTCAGGTATTGAACTCACAACTCTGGGTCAAGTCACTGGATCCAACCAAAGCTTTTATCTACCTTGAGGACATCAGTTTATGAATATTTTGGACTTATAAAATTAAAGTCACTAAATATTTTTTTACCATAGCTCATATTAAAATTTTGTTATTATTGTTTTTTTTCTAGTACTCCTTATTAATGGTTCCCATATTATATTCATTTCTATGCTTGGCTCGAGAGATGTTTGTGGCTTAGCATATGTGCTGATTCTTTAAATTTTCGTATTTTCCAATGATGTTTTCTGTCTATTATTTCAACCTCATCCCATAGGGGGCGGTGATCCCCCTTTTCCCTCCATATTTGGTCAGCTACACCCAATTTTTCTACTTCCCCTCGAATTACGGCTTTACGATGTTCTTGCAGTTTTATCTTGAGGGGGAGACCTGTTTCTCCATTTTTACCCTGTAATACGGAGTGCTAGAGAAAAAACAATAATAACAAAAACATGTAATATGGGCGAAATAAAGGGTTCAATTTGAAATTTCAATCAGAAGGCCGGCAACAAAGATGAGGACAACAGTCCGAACAATGTAAATAGTATAAATAATTATAATACCTCATCTCAGAAATATAGACAGATATTCAAGTCTCTTAGTATAAATAATTATAATACCTCATCTCAGAAATATAGACAGATATTCAAGTCTCTTCTTTATCTGTGAACTTGATTGTCCAGTATTGACAGTAATATAAACAGATTGATATTACATAAGAGTTCAGTACCCTTTTTTAAAAATTTGTAACGAATTTTTTCTGTTTCTTAATACTTTGCTTAGGTTTTGGAAGATACCTTTTGCTATCGCGATGCGCCTTCGGATTTCTGTGTTGCACTTTCCGACCGCTGTTAAAACACTTCCCAAATATCTGTTCTCAAAAACATGTGGCCTAGTGTATAGAAGCATTGGTTGAAGTAATCCAGTGACTTGATCCAAATAATTGCGAGTTCAATACCTGGCCACAGCAGAGGTGAACAGAAAAAAAAACTTGGACATTTGAGTTAAAAGGGAAATAACTGAAGCCAAATATCCGGAAGAGGCATAGCCCGTGGGACTAGAACAATCTACCATAGTGAACGAAATAAAGGGTAATAAATTCCAATCATCTGAAGAAGGAGCGTACAATGGCCGAAACGTTGTGAATGTGACAACAAATATGAAGACAACAGTCCGAATAACGTAAATAGTGTAAATACTCCCTGAACAGTTAAATTTTTGTACTTGTTTTATTTTGATCCCTAATTTATAATTTGCGTGTTGGGCTGTTTCTAAAGTTTACTATTTTATAAAAGCCCTGTGCCAGACTTAGCTCGTTTAATAAATATCTCTATGTGTAGATGACTTGTATAATCTGTTGAAATTATTATCTAGATATTGATTTCTAATTTGACTATTGGTTATGAAAATATTTCAATTTATTATCGATGTTGAACTCTGGTTGATGGTGTACGTGTAAATTGATCTTCGTATGACAAATATTCAGATTCACTAGAACGAAACGAACAATCACAGATGGTAGCCATGACGGACAGTTTATCGAATCAGGTTACCAAATTTAATTGATTTTAAAGATGACTGCTCAATTGGAAGGCGATTATTATTAGTATTTTTACTGACATTTCGACAGGAAGTTGAGAACAGCTTGCCACTGCAAGAGACGCCAATCGATTATTCCAATAGAAGACAGTGCACGAATGTTTCGGGGTTTGCCTTTCGATGGGTTGTGATCAGTGATGTGGAGTCCTGCAACTTGGTTCGACTAATGTGAGGCCCAACGATCTGGTTCTGCCTGCCGAATACTACTTGTTCTTCTGGTAATTATTTCTCCAGCCCGTCCTGTGTATGACGATAAACTACATACGCGTCCTGGGTAAGACGATAAACTACATACGACAGGAAGGCCTCTAATCAGGAGGTTTTGAGGTGTGTGGAACCTCCTCTTAATTGCTGGTATTCCCAGTTCCACCCTGACCCGGGGTGGTAGCACCAGTCAGGGTCCCAGATATGGGCAAATAGTTAGCCCCTAAACTGGGGTCAAAACATTATGAAAGTGGAAAAAATATATTTTAATACCAGCAATACATTCTTGGAAAAAAAATATTCCCAGCAATACATTATTACCAGCAATATACTTTTGAACAAAAATATTACCACCAATAAAAATAGATAGATAGATAGATAAAAAATGTTACCACTAATAAAAATTTTGTCGGCATTAAATAACCCATTGAGGTTGATATGCTGTAAAACAAACCAAACCAAATCAATATATACTGAAATAGATAGATAGATAGATAGATAGATAAAAAATCTTGTCGTCATTAAATAACCCATTGAGGTGTTGATATGCCGTAAAATAAACCAAATCAGTTTCTCCAGCCAACTTTCATAATTTGTCTTGCGCCAGATGCAAAGGCTGCTTGGCTATCTTTTAAGGTTGCACTTACTTTTCTAAGCATTTATATCCTGCACCCACCCTCAACACGGAAATATTTAGCCTGCCACCCACCGGACTTTATTCTGAAATGTTTTGTCTCTTTTAAATAATTTTATATCATTATAAAAGTGCTCAGAATCGAGGTAATTCCTCATTTTTCGATCTCAGGTTTTTCCACTTCCTTCTCTTTTCAGTCATTTCGTATTTTTCCATATTATCCTTTTACCAGTACAAGTAATAATTACGAGGTTGGAATGAAAAGTTCATAGGCCGACTATGAATGAGTGACGCTAGAGCTGTGAAATCTTGCATGCATTAATTTCAACTCTTCTTAATAATAAAACTTTTCTTGATATATGGACAGCATTTGGCATCGTGATGCTTTCAAGTACCTACAAAAAAGGGTTTAGCCCACAAGGACATTCATGCTACATTAGGGAATGAAATCCCAGCTTTATCAACAGTGCAAAAGTGGGCAGCTGAATTAAGGTGGAGAAAGGAGAGTCTTGAAGTCCTGCATCTGCCACCACCGAAGAAAACATTGATCGTATTCACCAGATGGTGATGGATGACAAGCGATTGACTATAAATCAAATAGCCAATGCTATTAGCATATCCCGTGAGAGAATTGAGAATATTCTGCATAATGAACTTGGCATGTCGAAGGTTTCTGCACGGTGGGTTCCACGACTTCTGACACCTGATCAAAAGTGCACCAAGCTGAGCACATCACGGAAAATCTGACATTATCTGAGGCAGATCCAACTGGTTTCCTTGAACGTTTCCTAACTTAAGTTGAGTGTTGTGTTCATCACTTTGAGCCGGAGACAAAGAGAGGATCCATGTAGTAAAAACACGTCTCCTTATTTGATTCAAAGAAGGCCATGGTCGTTTCATCTGCAAGAAAGGTGATGGTTTCATTTATTTGGATGCAATAGGCATTTTGTTTATTGACTATCTTCAAAAAGGCCACACCATCAATGGCGATTACTATGCCAACTTGCTGACGCATTTACGAAAGGCTATCAAGACCAAACACCTAGGAAAATTGACGAAACGTGTCATTTCATCAAGACAAGGCTCAAGCACACAAGCCGTTGGTTTTAATGACTCCTGTACGTGACTGTAGCTTTGAACTGGTTGGTCACCCATCATATTCTCCTGACTACACTATCATATGTTACACAAAACTAAGTACTAGACGCGCACACACACACACACACACACACACACATATATATGATATAAAAGGCTGAAACACTAATATTTCATGGTTATAACTTATTACATTAGAATCGTAATCACGATTCAATTTATCAAACCTACAAATTCAAAAACACCCAGACACACACACAGACACACACATATACACATATATCGCACATATATACATATATTGACCACTAATATATATATATATATTTACCACTAATATATATATATATATATATATATATATATATATATATATATATATATATATATATATATATATAGATAGATAGATAGATAGATAGATAGATAATATTAGTGGTAAATATACAGATACATATGCAAAATAACTAAATATATATACATACATGCATACACATACATATATTTTGAATAAAAAAATTCCAAGAGGATAGAATCCAGGTAGAACTCAATGTCCAGGACAGAGTAAGGGTATGATAAAAAGGCTTAAACACTAATATTCCATATTTATGAAAGGCTAAAATACTAAAACACAGACACACACACACACACTCACATACATATAAATATATATATATAAATATATATATATATATATTATATATATATATATATAAATTGACCAATAGTATATATATATATATATATATATATATATATATATATATATATATATATATATGGACCACTAATATAATATATATATATATATATATATATATATATATATATATATATATATATATATATATATAAACATTTGGCTGAAACAAGTATCGCAATTACGATGACGTCATATCTCCCGTTGACGCAAAAGGTTACTGGGAATGTGAGAGAATGAAAGAATTTTATGAGAAAGGAAAGAACAGGATTCACAACTTTTAAATAGATAAAACAAATCAAAAACCCCGTAAATTCTGATATTTTTCGAAATACTCTCCGCTTTCCTAACATCAATGATGGAATAGCCCGAAAGAGGATTAAAGTTTGAAGTTTCAGTCTTCTGCGAAATGTTAATTTCTGATTACCTTATAGCTGTACATATTAGTAGTTCATGTGGTTCTCTCTACTCTTCTGTACGCTTATAAGACCTGGACTATACTCGGGTCATCAAACATCTGGAGCGGTTCCAACAAACGAAGCACCGAAAAATCCTTCGCATCGGTTCGGAGGACCACATTACCAATAACGAGGTTCTCTTTCGAACATCTCTCCCCAGCATTGAGGCTACCATCCTTCAACATCGCCTCCGCTGGGCGGGTCGTGTCTCCAGAATGTGTCACACTCGACTCTCACGCATCATACCGTTTGGGAAACATGACCGCGGTAAGAGGCTAGGCGGAGGCCTAGAACGACACTTCATGGATCAGTTGAATACATCCATGGCATAGGCCAATATCGACCCTGAAACCTGGGAAACCGTTGCTGCAAATCGGCCTTCCAGGCGTAGGATCATCCGGGGGGGGGGGGACTTTTGAGTTCAACATGAAGAGGATCTGCAACGTACTGTCAGGAGGGGCCAATTCGTCCAGCCGCATCTACCACTGCGATCGGTGGGATGGTGTTTTTTTTAATAAGTTTGTCTTTGTAATTCACCCCTGAGGATCAAAAGTACAGCGGTAGGAAAAACTACAGCGCCTTCTTTGATGAATTTTATCATTTATTTGGAAATAAGAGAAGTATGTCTAACCACGGTGATTGGTTTTGACGTTTACGTCAAGGTATCGACAACTAACTTCTGGGTAATTTATCGGACGGAAGGGCAGAAGTGACAGTATTTTCGAATTTTAAGTGAATCAGATTATTTAACTATAAAGTAATTCTTAAAAATTAAATACTTTCAAAAGTCTAATATTTTATTGATTTTTTTAGGTATTTTTTTAAATGAAGACATGTCCAAAGCCCACACTGTTCCCATCCCTAAAATTGAATCTAAAAAAGAAGAAATTAATAATTGCAGTATATCTCTCACTGAAAAAGAAAAAAATTGATTATATTTAAAAAAAATAAAAATAAAGAATTTAATGAAATATGTAAAAAAAAGAAAATTAAAAATGGTCGGTCAGTCAAAGAATTTGACACGAAATCAACGCAATTTATGAGGCCGAGGTCGCTATCAGGAGAAACATCTCTCAAAATACGGGACATTATTTCTGAATTGTGCCTCCGTAGTTTTACTGGAGACGTTTTTAGTACATTTTTGGCATATTAAAAAATTATTGTAAAAATAGAAACTCTTCGCAGATTTCAAATTTATGATTTGTAAAAATAGATCTTTTAATAAAAGCACTTACAAGGCTACATATATTCAAATTTAATTTTAAAATATTTAACAACTTTACCATATTTTGTATTTAAAATACAAAAAAAGAAAACAAGTTTAGTAAAAATTCGTTTTTCATCAAAAAATGTATTTTGCCTTCAGACAATAATAATTATGAAAGCCATTAAAAGCTTTTTTAATTAAATAATGTCTTAGTTTTATTGGGCTTTGTATTTTACAATTCAGAGCTAGATTTTGGGTGGAAACGCTCCTCGATTAACAAAAAATCGATGATTTATATTCTTCAAAGTCTTCTACATTTAATTAAAAAATTACAGCGATACACATAGCCGAGTTTTCTAGTTTTCATAAAACTAAGTAAGGCGGAGGGAGCAGTTGTAAAAAAAATATTTTTACGATGAGATTCTAAAAAACAAACAATTCTAAAATAATTTAATTCATTTTTGAATAAGTTATGGAAGTTTCATTAATATCCAACAACTATTTGATTTTAGCAAGAATTTCCAAATTAGTATTTTCAACTCAAAAAAGCGCTAAAAAACTAATGCTAAATATTACGTGACTGCTGAAAAAAAAAACAAGATTTTCAAACCAAAATTTCGAACATGCTAGAAAGGACAGTATTTACATTATTCGGACTATTGTCCTCATCTTTGTCGCCATATTTATCATAACGTTTCGGCCGTTGTACGCTCCGGCCTTCTTCAGGTGGTTGGAATTTCGAACTGAACCCTTTATTTCGATCTGTCTATATTTCTGAGATGAGGTATTATGTACAGTATTTACATTATTCGGACTATTGTCCTCATCTTTGTCGCCATATTTATCACAACGTTTCGGCCGTTGTACGCTCCGGCCTTCTTCAGGTGGTTGGAATTTCCAACTGAACCCTTTATTTCGATCACTGGGGTAGACTGTTTTTAATGGATGTCATTTATCAGTTATCTCCTGTTAATTTCCCTCTGAAAGTCCCCACCTCCTTAACTGGGTATTGAACTCACACTCCTTGGGTCCTGTCACTGGATCTAACCAACGTCTTTATCCATTTTGCCATGTGTCCTTCGAACTTAACCCTTTATTTCGATCGAAATGAAGAAGGCCGGAGCGTACAACGGCCGAAACGTTGTGATAAATATGGCGACAAAGATGAGGACAATAGTCCGAATAATGTAAATACTGTACATAATAACTTATCTCAGAAATATAGACAGATGCTAGAAAGGAATAAATTTTTTTTTCCTCTTATTAATAATATTAACTTTTACACGATTTTTTGACGAATTATTGAACATACCTACAATAATAATGCATGTAATATTCACATATTTGTATCGGATTATAAAATACAAACATAGCAAATATGCATCTTTTCCATTGTTTACGTTTATAAGATGTTTAGCTGTTTCTCGTTCGGTTGTTTATGGCTGTACACGTTTACAAAACGAGTATAGAGTTACTAATGATACTTTTATCATTCTCTTTTACTTTTTTAACTTATTTAACTAGAAGATGAGATAAAGGGATATAGGAAAAGAGTCTATTGTAATTTGATCTCTCAAAAAGGAACTCGCATGATACACAAGATACATGATAAAATCATTTTTTATAAGTGAAAATCTTTGGGGTCGCACGATACGCGAGATCGCGCTTTACACGAGTATGTACGGCATATATATATATATATATATATATATATATATATATATATATATATATATATATATAGTACTTAAACTCTTTAAGCTGTAGTCTTTTGATTTCAAAGAAAAATCTCTTTCTATAAAAGGCAGGATGTGTGTGCGTGTGTAACGAATGCACGGCCGCAATTTTCGACGGATGTGCACCAAGATTTACATGCACATGCTCCAAGTGAGCAGGAAGGCCAAAACTGACTTTGCATTTCTCAACTCCCATCGATAGTGGAAATAATCGATTTTTTCATGCTTCTACGGCAGTTTTCATGCAGTTTGCAGTCATTTTCTACTGGCCAGAGTGAGAGCTGGCTGACACAAATAAGCAGGAAGATTCTATTGGCCAACGTGAGAGCCAACAGCTGACTGACACGAATGTTAACTAGCATGCTAGCATGCAAAAAAAATCGATAGCTGCATTCGTCACAAGTGGGGAAAAATTTAAATCTGAATGGCACTTTACTCCGATTGGCTCATTCGCTTGCTTAAACTCAACGTTGATTCTGATTCCGCAGAACTGGGTTGGGTGTGAAAAAGTATTTGTTGTTAACATTCTTTTTTCATTCGGTTTTTCCAGTTACGAATCCTTTTTTAAAGCTGATCGTTTTGTGTTCATTTTGTTTAGTTCTTTTTTTCGTAACAGATTTAATGTTTAGTATAGAGCTTAGAAAAAATTCGCAGTGTGAGGCAAGAAGTAAGGCATGTAGCAACATCAGCACGGAAAAGGGCACTCCTTAAAAGGCAAGGAAGAGCAAAAATATTTTAAGTCAAGTGATAGCGATTGCTGTACGATTTTTGAATCAAGCACGGGCAACGCTGGGCCATGCTGCTAGTAATATATATTCACGAAAATACTACTAATAGGGGGTGTATCTTGTGCTTTTCTTTCTTACTCTTTTTTTCTTCCTTTTCTCGTGAAAAGGGGGTGTATCTTGTGCTTTTCTTTCTTACTCTTTTTTCTTCCTTTTCTCGTGAAAAGGGGGTGTCTTGTGCTTTTCTTTTTTACTCTTTTCTTCCTTTTCTCGTGAAAAGGGGGCGTATCTTGTGCTATTCTTTCTTACTCTTTTTTTCTTCCTTTTCTCGTGAAAAGGGGGTGTATCTTGTGCTTTTCTTTCTTACTCTTTTTTGTCTTTTTCTCGTGAAAAGGGGGTGTAACTTGTGCTTTTCTTTCTTACTCTTTTTTTCTTCCCTTTCTCGTGAAAAGATAGTTTATCTTGTTTTTAAATCTCTATAAATTGTCTACTCATCAGTTATTTACTAAATACTGATGAGATGTGTTAATACGCATCGAAACATGATTGCATTTGTGCAGCGTTTTTTTTCCACATGTTTTCGAAGTAATATCCTAAAATAAGGACTTTTGTATTGATCCCTCTTTTAAATTGAATGTTACGAACGTTGGAATTGGACTCTATTCGTTCTCATTTCATATATATATATAATTTTTCTTTTTCAGATGTTGTTCCCAAGGATATTATTTTTTGGCCTGTGCTTGAAGATAACTACATCGAGACCCTTGGGACAAAATAAAGGTACTTTCATTTTAAAACATCTCTGCCTTCTCCTTTCATTATCGCTTTCTATATCGAAATTGAAACAATTATTTTAATAAAATGGCCGACTGCACATTTAACGGAAGAGAAAATTAAATTGGAATGAAAATTCTTCTATACTTCTATAAAGTTTCTGTAAATACAGCGTTTTTAGCAAGATATATATTTGTTGAAGCTTGGATAAGCATGGAATAATAATAATACAACACAAAATGTACGTAAACAAAATGTATTGAAACAAGGAAAAGGTACACAATATTTACAGTTAGTTTTGGTATATTCTTGGGAAGACTGTTCCTGTAGAATGGGTTGATTTAATCGCAGTCGGGCAGAGTCTCTCGATTGGATCTCTTCTTACTTCTTCCCCCCGTCTCCCCGGTACCAACCCATATTTATATGGTCGGTACTCCACTATGTAAATTAGGTGGATCGTACCACAACAATATTTTACAAAGTTCTTTCTATCTTTTCTGGTTAGTAGACTTGAATGTCATATTCTTGATATATCTACTCAGACCTAACCACAAGAGAAATATTTTAATAATTGTTTAATGTTTGTATTCATAATAATAATGAATTCGGCAAATTTACTATTTTTTCACTTGTTTAAATAATTCGGTAAAGTTTTAAGAAAACTAATTAAACAGATTTTGAGTTATTTAGATAATTCCATAAAAATTAAATTTTGGCTCCGATTGACTAACTTGTATTGTGAA